TTGCTCTCTCAGCTTGAGCTGGAGGGGCAGCCCAGAGGGGTATGGTTGCTCTTATCCATCCCTGTTGGTGTGGCCAGATGCGGCCACCAGTGACCTCCTTAGCTGCATGGGCAGTGCACCAGAGGTGCTGGGACAGCTGCTTTCTGTCTTTCCCAGGCACAGACCTGTGGTGCCTTCCTGAGCAATAGGAAGAATGCTGGCTGAGAGTGCCTGGACCTGCTTGTTTCAGGTCCTGCTTCCCTGACCACCCTGGAGGCCTTTAGCCTCCAGCCTTGGGGCCCACCCCCAGCCCGGCCATGATGGTGCCTACAGGGAATCCCCCTTCACCCTTGGCCTTGTGCTATAGGAGCTCTTCAGATCCTGGCTCCTTCGGTGCTAGACCCTGGGACCTGCTTAATGGATTTATAGGGTGGTATTTGTCTCTCTGAAGCTGACCACATGCTCTTGAGAGAAAGCTTGCTGCAGTTGGTGTTTTGAGGTCCCAGTGCTCGAAGATCAGGTGGGAGGGAACTTTCCTATGGCATCCAGTGGGAAAGGGCTTGGCCGCTGACTTCTGTAACCTCCTGTGCCTTCTTCCCACACAGGGAGAAGGGGTTCAAGATTCAGTGGGTGGATGACACTCACGCACTTGGCATCTTTCCTTGCCTGGCCTCAGGTAAGGTGGCTTCGTGTTGGGCTCAGTCCCCTCTCTGACCAGAGGGAGGGCCACCCATGTCCAGGTGCAGGCCACGCCAAGCCAGGGGCCTGTGTGGTTCTGCTCCCAGCACTAGCTAGAGCTCTGGGCTCTGTCACAAATAGCCTGGGTAGGCAGGCCATGTCCCAGCCTTAGTCTCCTCATCTGTAAAGCAGCAGAAGGCAAGGACCTGTCTTCCCACTGTGTCCTGTGGGAAGGTGCTCTGAGGTGGAGCATGACCGGGGCAAGGAGTGCAAGTGTCCCTGGGGGGTTTTAAGTGGTGAAATGATAGTCTGATCTCAGCTCTGGGGCTTTCAAAGGCAGAGTCTGCCTCACCCAATGTGAGAGTTACAGCCTCGCTATTGTGGCTCCTGCCTGTGGGCTGGGGGCATACCTAGAGCCCAGGTAGTCACTCCCATGCAGATCTGCAGGGCTCTGGAGCATGAGGTGAACTGGGGCTGTTGTCTCTCATCCAGCCAGAGTGGTGGCAGAGCAGTCCTGCCCCAGCTGGAGCTGGGTGCTCAAAGCTGCTGTGCACTCCTGGGCCCCAGGGATCTCATGCAGCAGGAGGGGATTTCTCCAGATTCACTCTTTCCCCAGCTGCTGATGCCCTGACCAAGGAGTTCCCTCTGCTCAAGATCCGGCCTCTCACACAGGGAACCAAGCAGTCCAAGCTCAAAGCCTTGCAAAGGCCAAGTAAGAACACACTGTCCCTGGATGGGGGGGTGGGGGGGCTGTGCACATGTGTGTTTGGTTTGGGGGTGAGGAGCAGGCCTTCTCTCTCTGTTCTCCTCTTTCAGTTCCCTGCTCTTTAGGGGTATAGCAGCCCATGGAACCTTGATCCTGCCCCAGGGGGCCTGGGAGCCCAGGGCAGTAGCCCTGAGAGCATGGAATCTGCCATGCTCAGCAGGGTTTGCCCTTGCCTTCACAGCCTCTTCTGAGCATTACTCCAGGGGAAGCTTGGTCTTCCTTTCAGAGAGCCATGGAAAGCACACCTTGCAGGGATGAAAAGTATTTGGGCTTTGGGGTCAGCCCTGAGTGAGACCCTGGCTCTGTCACTCATTCTGGTTGACCTTGAGCAAATCACTTTGAGTTTCTTCCTCTGTAAAATAAGCAGATTGTACGTGATAGACTGGAGGCTTGGATCGAGGAACACAAAGACCTGCTTAGAGCCAAGAGGGGCACACTGAAAGTGCCAAATAAATGTTAGTTCCTGCCATTTTCTCTTTGAGAACACACGGGTAGGGATTTTAGATGCCAGTTTCCCATGACTGCAAAGTAGTGGCCTACAAAGCAGGCCTAGGGGGAAGACCAGCCGGGGCCATCTGTGTTGAGGAAGGTGATGTGGTCTTTGTCTCAGATTTCTTGGGAACAATAAATATCCTGTCTCCACCAGACATCCCATCCTGACTTGATTTCTCACCCAAAGGCCCTACAAAGCAGGGAGGTGGACAGGATTAACTGCTCTAATCCCCACTGGTGGCCAAGAGATGAGAGGTTTGGGTCAGGATTCTACAGGGACCCTGGAACACGGAGGCCTGGAGACTTGGCCAGCTCCTCTCACAAGCAGGAGGGCTTCTGTGGGCACAGCTGGGCCTCTGGCCCCACACATGTAACTAGATGTCAGCTTCGTGCTTTGTTGCTGGGAGAAGCAGCCAGTCTTGATCCCAAGTACCCCCACTGGGTGGGGCCTTCCTTTCAGAGCTCTTGCGTCTGGTGAAGGAAAGACCACAGACGGATGCTGCGGTGGCCCGAAGGCTGGTGTCCCGGGCCCTGGGCCTCCAACACAGAAAGAAAGAGCGGCCTGCTGTCCCCAGTCCCCTGCCGCCCTGAGGCCCCAGCTCCTAACACCACAAGCCTTTACAGATGCCGGGACAGCTCTGTGCCACCGTTGGAGCTTCACTGTGGGGTGGTCGGCTTTAATTTGGTCTAGTTCCACAAATTGAGGGAAAAAAGAAATAAAAGCTTTTTAGTTCTAATGTTTGCTTTGAAATGTGATTGTCTGCGGCAGGACACTAGGGGGTGCTGTGCCATCTGCAGTCCCATCTATGCTATGGGCCTATGGCTTTTGAAGGCCAGCTCACCCTAGGAGGCCTGGAGGATCGCATCTGGGCCTTGGGGGACATTTGCAAAGTCTACCCTACATGGGAGGTAAGTTGCTCCTGCTCCGTGCCATCTGCCCGGCACCCTCTAGTAGGTCAGGTATGCCAGCCGGCGAACCTTTGTTGTAGAGCAGCTGAATCAAGGTGATACTCAGGTCCAAGGCTCTGGCTGGGCTCGTCCCCGTGCTACATGGTAGTGTTACAACAGGCTCTTTGCAGAAAGAAACACTAACAGAGCCAAGAGGTGAGATCTCAATGCATCCGAGATTGCTTCCCTTGCAGGAACAGATGCAAGGGTGTTCTGGCACAGGCCCAGTGCCCTCGTCTCTTCTGGCTTGGGTGAGAGTTGGTGCTGTAGGGTCCTTGCCTGAAGCTCTGGTGTCACTGTGGACCTGATTTGCTGGGCCCTAGCACACCCTTTACATTTGGGAGCCCCCTAACTGTGGCTGTGTTATTCACCCCACTGCCACAGGAAAGGGCTCAGGCGCCTGCTCTGCTGATGCATATGCTCTCTACCAGCTTTGGGAAGCTGCCTGTGACTTTTTAAATCTAGTCGTCCCACAACAACTATGTCCCTGGCAAATTTCAGCAAAAAGCAGTTCAGGAAAGGTCATGGCTAGATTTTTGTGATCTCCCTGGACTGCTCAGAGGGCAGCAATTGTTATCCCACATTGGACTGTGGGGGACATGGGAGCCATCTCTGCATGGTGTGAAACTGTGAAACTATAAAGCTCCTTTTCAGCAACAGAACACAGGAAGCTCAGGGCCTGCGCACACTGGTTTAGACGAAATCTGGGTGCACGTTGTCTCAGTCCACAATGCAAGTAGGTATAAGTGTGATAAGACATGGGTTTGGTGAGTGTTCTCATCACCCAAACCCAGGTTATAACACAATGGGATCAATTGAATTGAAGCGATAGAAAGATGACTCACACAAGTGGCTGGTTTTTCTTTTGAGCTATATTTTCAAAGGCTCAGATGCCTGATGTTGAATGCCCCTAAGTTACTTTGTGTTTCAAAGATTGTGAACATATAATAATGGTACCTTGAAAGAAAGAGGGAGCAGGGGGGAAAGCACCAACTCTGAGTTCACTTAGAAAACACGTGGCATCTATATAGTAGTCCTCCCTTATCTAAGGCTTCTCTTTCTATGGTTTGTTACCTACAGTCAACTGTGGTCCGAAAATATAAATGTAAAATTTCAGATGTAAACAATTCATAAGTTAAATTGAATGCTTTTTCTGAGTAACATGATGAGCTCTTGCACTATCTTGCTCTGTCTAGCCTGGGAGGCGCATTTGTCCAGTGTATCCACACTGTATACACTACCCACTTGTTAGTAACTATCTCAGTTATCAGATCCACTGTACAAATACCACAGTGTTTATGTTCAAGTAACCTTGATTTTATTTAATAATGGCTTCAAGTCACAAAAGTAATGATGCTGGTGATTTGGATATGCCAAAAAGAAGCCATAAAGTGCTTTCTTTAAGTGAAAAGGTGAAAGTACAATAAGGTATTTTGAGAAAGAAACCATATTCACATAATTTTTATTACAGCATATTGCTATAATTGTTTTATTTTATTATTAACTATTGTTGCTAATCTTTTAACTGTGCCTAAATAAAACTTTGTCATAGATATGTATATATAGGAAAAAACAGTATATATAGGGTTCAGTACTGTACGTGGTTTCAGGCATCTACTGGGGGTTTTGGAGCATGTGCCCTGTGGATAAGGGGGACTACTGTACTTAATAATTGTGACTAAAATTGACTAGAGGCAGTTGGCTTAGTTGGAAGACAGGTCTAGATATTCAAGTTAGCTGGAAATGACCTAAGAGAAGGAGCAATGGGATTTAGCCTGACCACCTCTGGGCTGAGAAGCTCACATTTGCCCACGTGTAACTGGAGAAGAAAACAGTCCTATATGATCTGTGCAGAGTCTGGTGGTGCCAGACTCAGGGTGGACCACAGCTTGGGTGGGTCAAGCTGATGACAGCCTGCGTTACCACCCAGGGTCCTGGGTAAGGCTGGATCTCAGAACTGCTCCCATAGCCCTTCGGACAAGTCCCAGCCCCCAAGGCCTTCCGAAGCCACAGAGGTCAGGCAGCAGCACCTGGTGAATGAGGGAGCTCCCTCCTCCTGAGCTGGGTCTGCACGGGGCAGGCTGTGGTGATTAGTCCTCCCAGGGAAGATGTACTGTGACCTGAACACGGGAGGTGACCAGGAGCCTTCTCTACTGCGTCGAGAGCTGGTTATTTAAGAGTCCACTGAACTGTTCAAACTTTTGTTCTGTCTCATCACTGAAGGAACCACCTGGGAATCGGGGAGAGAGTTTGGCAAATTAGATGCTCAGCCCCGAGGGCCTGAACCGAGGCCACCTCTGAGCACCCAGATATATAGGGACCCTGTTAAACTCCAGTGTATGTGTGAATAAATGTGGTCTAATTTTTACTGTCACCAAGAGTGAGGTCCATCACTTTCCTGCAGAGGAGAAAACTCTGCTTTTCTTTTTGTTCCCCAGGTCGTATAATCCAAGGGAAAAGCCTCTACTAGAGACTAGAAGTAATTCTTGACAGAAGAAAACCTGATATACAGAGCCCACAAATTGTTGACACCCACATTTTTGAGGTCAGATGCATAAAGTTGGTGGCCTCCACTCCAGCCCTTAAATGGCTCTGGGGTCTGTTCTTGCTGGGCCGGCTGTTTCTGTCCCACCCTCTCTCTGTGGCCAGGGCTGGCTGTGAAAACTAAGTCTCAGCCCAGGCCTGAGTCCGGGAATGCGGTGCTGGCCCAGTTCCCCAAGCTCTTTGCCCAGATGAGGAAGCTGCCTCTGCTCTTGCCCATTTCTTGGAGGGTGGGCTGGAGCCTGAGGAGAGGTGGGAGCAGCCCAGGGGCCTTACCTATGTGGCAGTTGTACATCCAGATGCGGTGGCCATCGTAGCGGCTCCTGCACTTCATGATGTTGTTGGAGAAGTCAGATTCTGGGACCTCATAGTTGGGGTTAATGACAACCTGGGGGAGATCATGCCACAGGAAGTTGCTCCCTCCTTCCCAGGCCGTCTTCCACCTCAGGCCTGGGCTCTGCCAAGGCCAGCCCAGCTTTCAGAGCTGGGGACCTCAGGAGAGGGGAGTGTGGCAGGTGCCGAGGAGCAGCTGGGGGTGAGACTGGCCTGGAGGAGTGGGACCTTGTGTCCCTCTTTCTTGGTATAAAAAAAAACACACCTTCAGCAAGGGTCACTTTCCTCCTAGGAAAGCGGCTGGGCCTTCTGCAGGAGGAGGAAGCAGGTTGCCAAGGGGGAGTGGAGAGAAGGACTGTGTGGTGTGGAACACGGGAAGAGGGGTGCTGGGGACAGGACACACCCATCCCCCTCTCTGGGCACTGGGGCTGGACTTAGGTGGTCCTGAAGTCTTTCCTTGCTCTGCTGGCCCAGATCTGGCTTGGGACTGTTGGTGGACTCTGGACCCCCTCTGCTATACCTTCTACCCCACCCGCCTGCTTCCTTCCTGTTACCCAGGCTGAGTGGACACAGCTAGAAGCAGCAGCAATAGGAAGGACCATCATTCTGAGGGGTCTGGGAGGGACAGAGAGATTCTGGGTGAGCAACCAAAAGAAAGGAAAATGAAACTGGAGGCCAAGATGAGGAGACAAAAGCTGTACGAAGGGGACATAAGTGACAGGGCTTCCCTCAAGGGCTGAACACAATGGAAGGGCTGTGTTTCCCACCTCCTGGTGAGCAGGGTGGGGGGAGTATGCTTATTAAGGAATATTCTAGGTGTGAGGTCCCAGAGGGCCCTTTAGCAGATTGCCTGGGTCCTCCCTCAGAGATGCTTTAGGAAATGGAGGCCCACCTGGCCCCTCCTGTGTCCTGGCTGGAGGCAGTCACTCTGAGGACCTGTGTCTGGCCTGGCTGGCCAGACCTGCCAGAGGCCATGTCCCACTGTGGTAAATGCCTCACTCTGGGGTGGCCTAAATTTTCTTTGGTCTCTTTTCTACCCAACCACCCTGGTTGTCCCCTTGCCCCACCCATGTGACATAGGGCAATCACTATCTCTCACACTGAGGTTCAAGCAGTCCCTTGCCTACCAAGTGTCCCTGAAGTGTGGCCATGAGGGCAACAGGATGCATCAAGGATTCCCACTGGGCTGTTAGGGCCCATAAGATCCACTTGGGGATGAAGATGAGGCTGAAATCCAAGGGCTCCACAATGCCACCCCACTCTCTATCTGGGGTTCTAAATCTCATGAGCATTTGCCAGAAGGACTTTAATTTCCCAAATTTCTGTGAATCTTTGAAGTGACAAGAAAGAGGACAAAGCAAAGACCACAAGAAACCTAGTGGCCCTTTCAGTCCTGTCTCAGTCTTTGGGCACTGGTCCCTACTTGGAGCACACATTCCTTCTCTCCCAGTGCCCTGTCCTGTCCCTGCAGCAGATCCTGGTGCCCACAGGTGGCACTGTATCCAGAAATGGCCAGGCTTTGCAGACATCTAAGATTCTGTGTTTATAACAAGGGAAATATTTCTTTCATCAGAGGCATTAACATGCCCTGATTTTGTTTGCTAACTGTATCATTTAGGGGTCAAAAACACATAATATGGAGTTGAAGTAACAAGAGTTTGCCTGGCTGTAAAATGTGGATAATTCTAAGGCTCCTTCACTGGGAGATTCAATGAGACAGGCTGCCTGGCCCATCATAAGTCTTCAATAAATCATAGTTGTTGAATCAATGGCATTTTTCAGAATACAGGATGATACCCTGCTGGGAGCCATTAGCCAAGTAGGTATGACAATTTCCTTGCCAGCGTACCCCATGTTGCAGTGACATTGAATGTAGGTAACCTTGCTCTAGGACCAAGGCAGATTAGGGTGTTCCCGGTTTTAAGATAATCGTGTTTAGGGCGTTCCCAGTTTAGGTTCCAGGTTTAAGGTTTAAGATTATTCCTGCTGGGAATAGGGCGTATCCTGCTGCCTGAGTTCCCCTTGAGTTCTCACGGGATTCAGACAGTATATTTTGGAGAGAGAAGCCCAGTGGAGGTGAATTTGGGCAGAGAACGTGGATTTGGGCAGAGAACGTGGATTTCCCCAGAACGTGTTTGTAGACGGCTGGTGTGAGTTAAAATAAAGAGTTGCTGCTTGAATCTACAAGCTGTGTGGTGGCTCGTGATTGTGTGCCCAGCCAGACTGCGGCATCTGTGCCCAGCCAGACTGTGGCAATACCCATTCACTGGCAAAGACAAAGCAGACTGCCAACATGGGCTACCGGGCACTGTGTACATGCACAGAGCCACAGATATTCTCTTTTTAAAAATAAAGAGCACTCTGCAATTTGGCTGGGCCTCTCCAGGTCTGTGGTTCTGGGATCATGGGTAGAAAAGTACTTGGCCATCTGATTTCCAGCATCTGAGGCTGCCAAGGAGATCTCTCAAAGCCCTGTGGTCACTTCTCTGCAGATGCAGGTTCTTCAGGGAAGCATATGGGGCGGGGACTCAGCCAGCTGAGCACCTCCTTGGGAAAGCCTCCAAGGACACCCGCTTTGCCACCCAATGGGGGCACACTGGGAAGCGAGATGGGTGGAAATGTGTTGAAATGAAGCTTCGGCAGACAGGAGCATGGCCATGTGCCAGAAGGGGAGTCAGTGGGGTCCAGTGTCCTTTGTCTCCCCTGCCAAGTGGGCCCTGGTGAAGCATACCACTGTGTCAGAAGCTGGGAGGCCAAGGCTCCCTGGCTACTCTTCCAGGCTGGCCCTCCCCAAGGGTGGAAGCCCTAGGGAGTCCCCACAGTACAGTCATTGGCCAGGCTATCCCAGCTTGACATTCTACCATTATAGATGGATTTCTTTGCATGGAGAACAGCCCCTCAGCAGAGCCTCTTTTATGACCCAGGAAAGAGACAAACACATGTGCACGTGAGTGTTAGAGTCTGGATGGTGCCTGGCATTTTGCCAGAGGGAGTGGTTTGTGAAGTAACGCCAGGGAGCCATTAAGTGTGGAGATTCCTTATTGGTTGACTGCTGTATCTAGTTTATGTTAATTAAGATAAGCTGTGTGGAATGTATATATACCCCTCCTGTCCCACAATAAACGGCTCCCACTCCTGCTGTATCAATGTACACAAGTTGCTCGTCACCCCCCGGTTATTTTGCTGCAGCCGGACTGCGGCACGTGAGCTCATATTGCTTTCAGCCTCAGCACAGTAGGGTGGGGGGCACTGGGATAAATCAGGGTGGAGGGGAGAGAAGTTCAAAAAGAAGCCAAGGGTGTGGTTGTTAAGAGTCCATGGAACCCGTTCCTGGCTCAAGGACTAAAACAGCTTGCAAATGCATTTGGATTTGCATGTGCCAGGGGCTGAGTGAATTGCATTCTGAGGCTGCCTCCCTTCCTCCCATGAGCAGGGCCCTCACCTCACCTGAAACAGGTAGTCTCCAGGGGGCACGTCGGTGATGTCGATCCACTGGCAGTCAATGTCATGGCGGTACATGTCCCAGCAGCCCATGGTGATGCCTTGCTCACCAAAGTTGGCGCATTCGTAATTCTTCTGAATGTCTACAGGCAGGGATGGTGTATGTGGGGGGGGGGGGGCTGTTACCATGTACCCACGACCCCCTGCCTCATCTCTCTTCCAGCCCTCGAGCTCCCACCTGTGCTTCAATGAATAAGGGACTAATCACACACACATTTATGCAGCTGCTGTGCCTGGCACCTGTCTGCTTGTGCAGACAGGCTCTAGCTCCCCCAGCTGCCTAGGCAGTGGGTATAGTGAGAATGCACATATCTGTCCTCAAAGGACCCCTGGTGTCAGGGTAGTGGGTGCACCACCAGGTCATCACAGTGCAGGTGTGGTGACCATTAGGTGACCATGCCCTGCCTGGGGAAGCAAGTGAGAGAGGGTGGGCAACTCTTGTGACCTTGGACGTGAAGGATCATAGTCTGGTGGGGGAGGGGCCCTGGGCCTTGGGACACCTGGGAAGAAAGGTTTCTGGCAAGCAGCAGGAGGCCCATGTGAGTCAGCCAAGGGTCTGTACCTGACTGGCAGGCCATGGGCCCTAACAGTGCCTGCCCGCACAACTCTGGGGGAAGAGGTGCCTTTCGAACCAGGTTTTGCCTTCTACCTCACGCCTAGCAAAGGCCTCGCATGAAGAAAGGTCATGTGGAGAGTCAGCAGTGGCCAGGGGACACAGGGGTGGAAGCACTGGAGCCCTTATGAAGTCCCCATGGTCCCCCCCCACAAGCCTACCTCCTTCACATTCTGTGTCCTCCAAGCAGAAGCTGGCCTTGTGGCCCTCTGCCACCTTGGTGCCATTGAGGTTTAGCAGGTCATAGTGGGTGAACACTTCCATGCTGTGGTAGTGCCTGGGGGCCGGAGAGAGGACGGGACGGGAGGTGTCTCTAGCCACTGTCACCTGCGAGCAGTGGCTCAGCTGGCCATTGGCCTGAGGGAATCTTAAGCAGTATGGTCACTGGGTGGCCAGGGGAGAAGCAGGAAGGGCAAGGGAAAAGGTAAGGAAGGTGGTGAGCATGGTGCTTCTCAGAAAGCGTCCAGGCTCCAGGGTCAGCCAGCCTCCCCCCTCGCCGAGCCTCGCAGACCTCTGTTATTTTTAATAAGCGGGGGCCCTTCTGAGCCCTCAGGAGGCCCTCCCCATTTGCTTTGTACCCTTTCTCTAGACTTGATTAAAAAATCATATTCCAGTCTCTTTTAAAAACATTTTTAAGGTGGTAGGGAGGGAGAGAGGATGAGAAGGGGGAGGTGCGGTCAGTAAGTGGGGGAGTGGGAAAGAAGAGGCATTAAGAAACCGTGTGTGGCCAGAGTAGGACATGCACGCATTCTGGGGACATTCATGCACTTCATCTCCAGACCCTGGGAACTGAATGACGGTGTCTGTGCCGCTTGTATTGAGCAAATGAAGCAAGAAGGGGAAGGAAGAGAGCCAGGGAGGCCCTCTGGGAAGGAGAAGTGAGTCATTCTCAGGGAGAGACATGGGCTATGCCTGGGAAGGCGCATCCGGGGTTCTGGAAGGGAGCGGGTGGAAGGGCGCCTGTGCAGACAGGCTCTAGCTCCCCAGCTGCCTGTCCACAGCAGTCCATCTCTTCACTGGGAGGAATTGAAAACAGATGCAGAGTCTAGGAAAGTGTCACGTTTGGCTCAGAATAAACAAGGCAAACATGGCTGCTACGTGGAGCATTCTGGAATCCCTCAGTGCCCAGGACCAGGGCTGAAGGCACTGGGCTGGCTTTAGCACCATCCCAACCTGCCACGCGTGTTGCCTGGGAGTGTCTGCCGCTATCCCAACGTGCGTGTGTCCACCATTACAGGGATACTTGGAACAGTGAAGAAGAAGGGGCGAGTCTGGGGGCAGAGAGACCTGCTTTTGTTTACGGTAGACCCCAGTTTCCTCTTTGGGAAAGAGGAATCATAACATCAGGCCCTTGCAGGGCAGTGTGAAGAGCACATAGGTAAATGACAGAAAGGCCTCATGAGAGACTGGCAACAGGGCGGGTGCTCAGTACCTGTCAGCTGTCTCATTATCACTGCCATCAGCAGCTGTGGTGGTGGCATTTAATACTACCTAGAGTCGGTATTACTCTCAGGCCTTTGGCGGCCCCCACACCCCATGCCATACATAGTGGCCTCGAGCTCCCTTTGCTGTACAGGGGCAATGGGGGGCAGAGGGAAGAGGGGGACGGAAAGTGGGGCTTTCTGAGGAAATTAGAGGCTCTCTTTCCTTCCTCCTGTGTTTGCTGTGCTAAAAATAACGCCAGCAGTTGCTAAGTCGGGCTTCCCCCAGGTCACTCATGTTTCTGGGTGAGGTGGAGCTGGGGGCCCTCGGAGAACACTCACAAGGAGCATTTTGTGGCAGTCCAAGTGATGACTTTCAAAGAGTCTCTTTTGGCTTCCTGAAGGAGCCCAATGAGACATGAGGTCTGACTCATGGCCCAAAAATGTCTGCCTCTTTCAGAGAGGGGCTTATGTGACCATGCAGACCGGCTGGAAAGACTGAAGAGGAGTAGTTTATGTTCCGTTGTCTAAACAGAATTCAGACGGAGCCCACAGACGGGCTGTTGTGAGGCTGGCCTCCTCCCGCGCTCCTGCTTCCTGAAGACCTGATTTAAGTCCTCTCTAGGTTCACTTTTTCCCCTGCTGGGGAGGGAAGCGGCTGGTTTTATGGCTCCTCAGTTTTCACCAGCTTCTGACCTGAACGTCTCTCCTTTACCTCGGAGGTGTACGTGGCATCCCCTCAAACCCAGGGGCACATTTCCCTCCCAACAGGCCCCAGGTAGAGCCGGGAGACCCCCCCTTGCCTCCCCCCACCGCTGCCCAATACAGATGGGGGCCCTGCGAGCAGGAGGCCATGCGCCAGGCTTTCTCTTCCCAGGCTGGGAGTCGAGGAGGGGCCTGACCCCTGGGGCGGAGGCAGGGAAGGTAGACCTGGGAAGAAGTTCCAGAACACTAAGAGAAGACAGAGCAGCCTCCTGCCTGATGGAGGTCCTAGTGAAAGAAAGGAAGGATGGCCCTCACGGTGGGACTCCAGAGCTGCTGTCCTGGGACCTGGTGCCCCTGGGGGGAGGGGTCAAAGTGGGTGACAGACAGAGAAAGCTGGTTCAGAGAAAGACAGGCGGTCAGGGGCATTTTTTGCTATCCTCAAGTCACTGGTGGCCCCAGGAAAACTCTCAACCAGGGGCTCTGCGCACTCGGCAGAGGTGTTTGTGCTACACGTCTACGCCACCCCAGCCAAGTGTCCCCGGAGCCTCCCAGTCGACCGTTTGGTAGAGTTCTGCCGTGGTTGGGCAACGCTCCTATCTGTAATTCAGAGACACTGGGTGTCTTCCAGTTCCAGGGGGGGCTTCCACAAAAGCTGGGGCCCTTCAGGGGGTTCCACCTTGCTGTCCTCAGGTACTGGGCAGCCACTTGGGAGGAACAAAGCCCATGGATGTGCTGAGGGTGTCTCACTGGCTCAGAGGCCCCGTCACATCCGTGGGCTTGGAGCCTCCGAGGGTCTGCTCCACATCCGGCAGCATGGCCCACACGACAGAGGACTCCTTTCTGCAGCAGTGCCATCCCTGATGTGGGGGCTGTGGCCATGTGGGGCCCACTCCCCTGCTCCTCTAGCTCCCAGCCAACTCCTCCCCGAGGCTTCCCTTGGGACACAGCAGCTGCCCTGCTGTGGACATTGTTAAGCACTGGCGCCCAGTTCTGTCTGGTCCCTGTCAAAACTGTGACACGATATGCCAGTTGAGCAGGTGTGGCCCACTTCCTGGGGCACAGCAGACAGCAGAGGGGCCTCAGCAACTTAGCGAGACTCTGTCTCAAAAAATAAAAAAATGGACTAGAGATGTGGGTCGGTGGCTAATTGCCCCTGGATTCAATCCCTGGAACAAAGAAAGAAAAAAAAAAGAAGGAAGAAAGAAAATCCAGCAGAGGGTCCACATCAAGGTCATCAGCCAAGGGACGGTGCACTGGAGAGAGAACAAAACTGAGGGCATTTTCCCCTACGTCCCGCTGGTGAAGAATCTTCCAAAGGCCTCAGTCCTTGGGTTTCAGCTTAGAGCTTTCCAAGAACATGGCTCTGTTCCTCACTGTAGCATCAGTTACATTGGGAATGGCATGTGCTTCCTTGTTCACATTAATTTGAGCCAGGGTTCTCCCGCTTGGCTCCACATATGGACTTGACGTCTCTGTGAATCTGCTGAAATGGGATGCTAAATCTTCCAGAATTTTTTTTTTTTTTAAGTTGCGGCAGGGCCAGCTTTCATCAGCCCCCCAAGGGGACCCAACCGGGGCTTAGGCCAGGCACCCTGCTGGAAGGCCCACCCGAAGAGTCTGGAGAAGTTGCCAGGGACTCTGGAGGTTGGGAGTCCCCTCTCATGGTCCTGGGATCTTATGGACATAGTTTCTCAGTCAAGGCTGAGGAGGGGGAGGTCTGCAGGGCCTAAGCCTAGCTGCATGTTCTTCCTACCCCTCCCTCCCAAACGGTTGATGGGAACATCTGTAAGCAAAGAAATAAAACAGACCACAAAGTCAGGGTTCCCTCGGGCTCCAGATCAGAACACTTCCATGATGTCACCATGTGACTATTCCTAGAGGAGAGACTGATTCCATATGGCACTTGGAGAGTCCTACCCTGTAATCTTTGGGTGGGCCGCCATATGCAGGGCTGGGATGCAATTACCTTCCACTTACAGACCCATGGGCAGCGACAGCCCCACTGGCCCCTGGCTGGCCACGTACTATCTGAAGGAAACCAGGTACCAATATCACCATGACTTGAATTCTATTCGACTTGCACTTTGAAGAAGACTGACACGCTTCTATATAAAGATCAGAAATTCTTCAGCTCATTAGGACTCTTGAAGGACATCAAGACAATCATTGTAAAGGAAAATCACGCCCCCAAATGCCACCATAGTCCTTTCTTTTGAAATAGGCCAAACAACTCTATCACCACACTGACTTGAGTGGGATTAGGCCACACTCCTGAAGTTAAAGATAAGTTTCTGAAGAAGACGCAGCTGAGGTGAAGAATCTGTGCTCTGGAGACAGAAGGCCCTGGCAGGGACCCTGCTCAGCAACTCCCTGTTATCTTGGGAAAGTTCCATGACACTGAGGCTCCATGCCTTACCTAGGAAAACACGGATCCAATGGCCTGGCACTTAGAAGAGCCAACACACGTGAGCACTTCTGCCTGTGATGGCAGCATTGCAGAGCAGAAGGAAGCCCGCAGGTCATCCAGACCAGGGCTTCCCAGGCTCTGAGGTGCAGTCACCTGGGAGTCCTGATAAAACTCAGGTTCGCATTCATGGTCTGCAATGCACCCTGGTGTTCCGGCTCTCAGGTGGTGGCTGAGACACTGGCGGAGGGGCCTCACTTTGAGAGGCAGGGATCTCTGCAAAGGCTTTGTTTTATACCTGAGCATAGAAAGGGGGAATTACCAGAGGAAATCTGGAGACTCCCGGGGGAATTCCTGCTCTGTGACTAACAGAGGCCCCCCTCCCTTCTCTTCCAACTGTGCTGACTTCTGTCTTCCTAACCTGCCCAGTCAGGTCTGAGCGCACAGTGTGACCAAGCAGGGTCAGTGGGTCTTGATTAGATTAAGAGTCAAGGAACAAAAGAAAAGGAAAAAAAGAAACAGAGGAAGGAGGGCGAGTCAGGTGGCTGCGGTAGGCCCCAGCTAGGGCTGGCTTTAGAATTTCATATGTTCTTTGGTTCTGGCCCAGGATTCATAGCACTGGGATCATATCAACAGACTGGCAATCTGGAAAGGACCCGGAGACCCAGGTGATGTGCCCCAGGCAGTCTGGCATCCTGCAGCGGGCTGGAGACCCAGCTGGGGAGCAGCTCTCCTGACCCTGGGCCCCATTCTCTTTCCACGCCCACTATCTCAAGATATTTAGAGCAGATATCAGTGCATGAAATACACTTCCACATGAACTTGGCATCCAGCAAGTGCAGAACCCTGAAGTTCTGTGCATAGTTCACACGGTGTGTATGCACGTGAAAACCATCCACGGAAGGCCCATGGAGGGGGTGGCACTCAAGCGTGTGTGGCCCAGTGCTAGAAGAGCTGGGCACAGGCAGCAGGGGCTAGGCTCAGGGGCAGGGACTGGGAGTGGAGAACAGCTTCTGTGAACACGGAGGGCCAGCCTGGTGGACACTTCCCCCTCTAGTGACCCTGGCCATTCTGGGTCCTGCAGGACGCAGCAGACTGGGGCACGTGGGTGATGATGGGAGGGAGGGCCCACCTGTGGCAGTCGTGCCAGATCCACGCGTGGCGGCCATTCTTGGGGCGGAAGTCGGACTGGCCGTTGTTGTGGATCTGGGAGGAGAAGCGCAGCAGGCGCCGGTAGCCCGTGGTGGGGTTGGTCTGGGCGGCCGAGGCCGAGAGGCAGTTCTCCTCCATGGCGCACTGCAGCATGAACATGGGCCGGTCCTCCAGGTAGGCGGTCTGCTGGACCATCTCGGCATTGAGGACCAGGTCAGGGGCGGCTGGGGGTGCACACAGTGGTCAAAGGTGAGGAACCCCTACCCAGGGTTTCACTTCTGGTCCCTGCCACTGCCACCTCCTGGAACCAGCTCAAGGGCTCAGTGTTACCCTCCTTATTGAACATGACCCCCAGTTACTCTTTCCCTTTGCTGAGCGTCCTTTTTGACACCTCTTGGCTTATCAGGGCACGTGGGCAGGTGTTGATGTGGGCGGTGGGCACAGGAGGGTTCCTTATGTTACTTTAATGATGGGGAAGAGAGAACACTGCCCACCCCTTGGTCTGATTCTTCTGGGCATGATGTAGATTTATAGTCTGCTAATACTGTACCCTTAAAATACACTTTAACTGTTGATAACTATCCATTACGACATTTGTTTCGTGGCTACATAATATTTAATTCGCAACCTTACCTATCTTACATATTTTTAGATATGTACATTAGTGGTTTGGAAATTTCTTTCCCCAACTACTCTAACATGCATTTAGCCAAACCAGCTGAGAGCTATGTTCCTGGACCACATGGCTACTGTCCCCACCCCCTTGGAGAAACACTCAGAGTAATGCGTTCAGCCTCTGCTGGGGGTCACTCTTAGCAATGGCCCCCTACAACTCATTTCTGCTATGAGGATGTTAAGGTATTATTCATCTCTCAACTCTCAATCCCCATACAGAGAAATTCCCTTTGATGTCAGAATCCAGACTAGTGGACTTCTCTTGACTCAGAAATTTGCTTCCGCCTCATGGGCACTATAAGTTGAATTAATGAGGAGGTTTCCCTCTTTCCTTTGGCTGCTAGGAAGCTCACTGTGATATTAATGACCTACCCATAGTAAGTACATAGAACTCTGTGGTGCAGACATTTTTAATTAACCTCTCTCCAGGCTCCATTTTTGCGGAACAGACCTTCCTTCCACCTGTTTTCATGGTATGCTATCTTGAATTTTATTTAGGTTTATATTAATTTCCTTTTTGGGAGAATAGAACATTGCAAATATAAATAAATTGGTGAATAAAGAGAAAGCCCCTAGCAGGGGTGGAGCTTCTCTGCTCTTCTGGGGCTAGTAGGGTGGTGACCTCCCCATCTCTCCTCTCTGACTGGATGTGAAAACTGGTGAGCTGCTCAGCCCTGAGCTTGCATCAGGGCTGTGAGTCCTGATTACAGGAGCTGGGGTGTGCTGACTGAGCTCGGTGTACTCGGATTCCTTGTTACGGTTTAGATATGAGGTGACTCCCAAAAGCTCACGTGTGAGACAATGCAAGAAGGCTTAGAGGTGAAATAGTTGGGCTATGGGAGTTTCAATCTAATCAGTGCATTAATCCCCTGATAGGAATTAACTGGGTGGTGACTAGGCAGGGAGGGTGCGGCTGGAGGGGTCTCTGCTTCTGGGTGCTCTGGCCTGAGCTGTTTCCTCTACCAGGCTCTTCCACCAAGTTGTTTGTCTTGCCTCAAGCCCCAGGGAATGGAGCCAGCTGGCTATGGAATGAGACCTCTGAAACCCTGCGTGCCAAACAAACTTCTCCTCCTCTAGAATTTCTCTCATCAGGTCTTTTGGTCACAGCAGTAAAAAGGCTGCCTAAACACCCCTTGTCCTCAGAGATGGTTAAAGGACAGTGCATCGTGTTCACTAAGCAGTTGAACATATGCGACGTCGCATTTGATCTCCAGTTTCTAGAGACAATTGCCGGTGTACATCCTGGCGGTGCAATCAGCCAGTGTCAGCTAACAAGGCAGGGTCTGCTGCCTTGTCAGTTCCCTGGTCAGTTTCCTGGCTTTGCCACAGAGATGGCTCAGCGAGGCTCTCCAGGTCACACAGGGAGAGCCAGGTTTGGGTTGGGGAGGACAACCACCCACCAGGCTGCCCTGCTGGTCCTCCCTGCATGGAAGAAGCCTCTGTGAGGGGGCCATTGTAAATCCTGGCTGGGCTTCCCCTGAAATGTCCCATCTCTAGAACTCCCAGGGTGTAATAGGCGACTAAGTTGCCTCCAAGGTCTTAAAACAGGAAACAATGTACAGAGCAGGTGGGGGCAGGGAAGTGGATGCATGTGTCCTTGTGCTATGTCCTATCATGGCCCCACCTGCTTTCCTAGCCTCCAAGAAACATGTCATCTTCCTCATTTAACTGGCATGAAAAAGGAGCCCTTGGTCCCATAATTGCCCTTGCTCACTGAAATAGTCACTGTGACTTGAGCCTGGGGCTCCCAGGCTCCTAAGACTGCCGCATGCTTTTGTCTCCCCTGCATCACCAGCAAGGTCCTGGGACTGCAGCTCAGGCCAGAGCACCAGGAAGCAGAGACCTCCCCCAGCCGCACCCTACCTGCCTACTCACCACCCTGTTAATGGCTCATCTCTCTCCCCCAGCTCTTCTCACTTAACCAAGTTCCTTCTGCCTTCCTCCTCCCCTGGGGTGGCAAGGGGGGAGGCGGCCCCTGGGAGCGCTTACTTTCTGAGCAGGCGACTCCGGCCCCATACTGTACCCCACCCTGGGGGCAGACCACGTCCTCATCCTGGCGGCAGTGAGCCAGGGACAGCTCCGTTCCCGAACACTTCACTCCGCTCATGACCACTTTGTTGGTGTAGACATTCCCGTGCCAATACCAGGTCTCCTGAATGAATCAAAAGAAATGGCTAGTATGTCACCTTGAATCGTCACTCTTGCATATTCTGTCAACTGACAGCCTCACAAAAATCCCATGGTTTTATGATCCCATTTTTCAGATGGAGATGGCTGAGGGGCAAGGACTCACTCACCCCAGCCACGCACTTAGTTGGTGGCAGAATGAGTGAGAATCCAAGTTTCCGGACCCTACCACTGGGAATCTTCCATACTCCCCCTTGGGAAAGTGGAGCTGAGTTTGAGATCAAATGGCTGCTCAGTGTTGCAGGTCAGGAATGGCTGGCACTTCCAAGTCATCTGTCCTCTCCCTGTCCTGAGCCATGACAGACATTGCCAATCAATAGAAGCACTCTCCTTTAAGCCTGAATGGGATCTCAGAATCCTCCTCAACACAGGGCTCCAGGAAGACCTGACCAATCGATCAGAATTGCAGGAGAGAAGAAACCATTTGTATATGTCAGTCATTATTTAGAAGTCTATGAAGTCTAACTTCTGAATTTCATTCTGGGAAAGCACTTAATAGAGCAGTTCTGCATAGAGGCCGAGGATCCAGCCGCCAGGTTTGTGAAACTGAGATTTATTGGGCCCCTTCCATCTATGGGGCTCCAAAACACTGTTAGGATATACTCTCCCACTTCAGAGAAGTTTCCAGTGGAGAAAAGTGAGAAATTGGGGGGAGTAAAGTCAGGTATAGAGCTGGGATGAGGATCTAGGTCCCTGTGTTCCTGAGATCTCTAGGAGTAATTGTATGTGTCAATGTACAAGCCACAGTACCTGGACATTTGGTCAAACACTATTCTAGATGTTTTCTGTGACATAGTTTTTAGATAAGACTAATATTTCAATCAGTTGACTTGAGAAGCAGAGTACCCTCCATAATATGGATGGGCCTCATCCCATCAATTGAAGGCCTTAAGAGAAAAAAATGACTGAGATCCCTCCAAGAACAGGGAATTCTGCCTACAGAATGCTTTTGGACTTGAGCTTCATCAACTCTTCCCTGAGTCTACAGCCTGTCAGCCTGCCCTGGAGAATTTGGACTTGTAGCGAATTAAAAATCTCAACATCCCCCATCCTTGCACATGTGTAGTCTTAACCCTCTGTATCCATGGGTTCTGTGTACATAGATTCAACCCACCACATATAGAAAAAAGTTCTTTTTGATTGTATGTGTACTGAGTATGAACAGTTTTTTCTTGCTATTATTCCCTAAATGATACAATATAAAACTATTTACATAGCATTCACATTGCATTGGGTATTATAAATAACCTAGAGATTATTTACAGTAAATGGGAGGATGGGTGTAGATTATGTGCAGATACTATGCCATTTTACATAAGGGACTAGATCATCCTTGGGCTTCGTATCCGGGAAGGGTGCTGGGACCCATCCCCCACAGCTACTGAAGGATGGGATCACTGTGCATTCACACACCCTCCTGGTTGTATTCCTCTAAAGAACCTGATCAATACCCTCCTTATCCTCCAGATGAAAAAATGGGTTTCAAGAAGAGATGGGGCTTTCCTTGGTGGCAGGTTTGGGACTGATGTTAGGTCTAGGCCCATTCCGTGACCCCTGCTGAGGCCCAGGTGTCTCAGGCCTGAGCTGACAGAGAACAAAAACAGCTGGACAGGGCTCTGTTGAAATGTGGCTGTTTTTCCGCTCTCCCTGGAGAATCAGAGTGAGCCCAGCTGGTCATAAACAGTGTTAGCAGAAACACTAGGTTGCCCTGGGAAGCTGAGCTCTGAGGATGTGTCACTGGCCTGTCCCTCCTGGAGGCTGAAACAAAGAGCCTCAGGAAGCCCCTGTTCAGGGCTCAGCAACTCCCTGGGAGCAACCTGGGCCCTTCCCTGCCTGCTCTCCCCTCCCCTCCTGTGAAATGCCTTCCTTAGGCCCCAAGCAGGGCAGCTTGGGACCAGGAGCTGAGCAAGATGGGTCTCAAAGCACTTTCCTGCCTAATGAGAGTTTTTAGCACCAGGATACTGAGGGCTTGGGATTCTTCTTTCCATGTCAAGGGGAGGACAACAGGCACAGAGGGTGGCTGCTTTGCCCCCAGGCAGTCCTGCAGCTGCTGGTGGGATGGAGCTGGGAGCAGACCCATAGCATCTTGGTCCTGCGCTCCTTCTGACAGGGTAGGACAGTGGGAACACCAGGCCAGGGCTCAGTGGCCCAGCCAAGCCAACCTGTCTTTGCAGAAGGGGCCTGGGAAGAAGGGACAGCTGATAAGACAGGGCTCTGGACACTGTTTGGAGGTGTACTAGGTCTCTGGGGAGGATGTATGAGGTGTGGAGAGCCGGGAAACACTCTAGCCAGAGGGAGCTTCCAAGGGATGGTAAGGTGTTCGGGGTGTTAGCCTTGGCCCCAGTGGTCTCCAGGACCCAAGGACTGAATTGCTTCCCTCTACAGAAGGCAAATCACCCAAGGCTCAGCCCTCAGCCCAGGGACAATCCAGTGTAGAAACAGAGTGGCTTCAACAGAGCCAAGTCCCTCTTCTACAGCTGGAAACATGCCAGAGGGAGGGAGGCACCTGCCCAGGCTCAGAGGGGCAGGGGACAGAGCTGTGGCCTGAACGAGGCCTCCTGCCTGCAGGTGCGGTGCTTGGCTCTACCTGCCTCGTGGCTAGGAAGGTTCTGGGAAGAGGGGTGCTGGTGGATGATGGGGAAGGTGAGGCTGGGTGGAGGGTGGGCAGGGCCTGAGCCCATGCTTCTCACCTGGAAGGCATTGCTGGCGAACCCCAGGCCCAGCTGCCGGCAGACCACCATGGCCTCCACGATGCCCCAGTTCTCGCCACACACTGTCCCCCACACGAGGGACCCGTTTCTCTCTGTCAGCACCTCCACTCGGCCCTCATAGGGATTGCGGCCCCCACTGAGGCGCAGCTGTGGACAGCAAGGAAGGCATGGTCACCAGGACAAAAGGGAGCTTCCCCATAACCCCAGCTTCCCAAAGCCAGGGGGTCCTGCCTGGGCCACGCTGGGATTTGGCAGTGTCCTCTGGCTGGGCTTGGGGTACAGCTCAGTGGTGGAGCACTTGCCTGGCATGTGCAAGGCCCTGGGTTTGACCGTCAGCCCTGCAAAACAAACACCCCCACCCCACCCAATAGCAGCATCCTCAAGACCTTCCTGTGGCACAATGCCACAGGAGGCATTGTGCCCAACACAGCTTTACAGTGAGGTCCCCACCCAGCGTCCTGGGCCCTGCACACAGAACTGTGCTGGTAATTCCAGCACCTCCAAAAGATGAAATGCATGGTGTGTGTGCAGTCTGGGTTTTTCCAGATCCAGTCATTCACCCAAGAGGTACTGAGTACGTAATATGTGACAGGCACAGTGCTTAGATGGGACATCTCAGGCAGACTTTTAGAGGTCTAACCCCATCCCTTCCTTTAGGACAAACCCTCTACAAAACCAGGGCCTGAACTTTAGGAGCCTGTACTGGGGTCTGGGGGTGCCTTCCTTTCCTCTGAGCCTGGTTCCAGGCTCCCACCTCCACCCCTCGCGGCCAGCATGGTGGGGAGGTGAAGGGCATGGGGGTGGAGCCTCCAGTAGACCAAGCTTAGCTCTCATGTTTCTGGAATGGCAGCCCAGGGGGAGGATACAAAGCCAAACGACTTTCCACTGGGTTACTGTTTTTTAGTTCTTTCCAGACTGTGTCCTGCCTTCCTGACTGCATCTGGAGCAGATGGCTCCCTTCCCTGCCATTGCTGCATAAAAGCTGGCTTCCCTTTGTCACCTCAAGGTCAGTTAAGAGGTGAGGACAAGGTGTCTGAAGAACCTGTTCACTTTTCCTGCTTCCAGAGGGTGATGTGCTCCTAGCCAACCCTCCGGGAGAAGACTACTGCATCTTGGACTGAGTTTGGGAGGTGCCAGAGGGTCTCCCCCCTTGTCCACTGCTGCTGGCCTGGCCCTCCCCTAAGTTGGCTGCCCATCCCACCCTGGACTCTAAAACCTATACAATTTCAGGGGCTCTGGCCAAAGAACATGGCTTCCACGTTGATTCTGGGGCAACAAAATCATGTGGTCACCAAAGGCACTTCCCAAAGCCCTTCCAAAAATGACCAGACCTGAAGCTACATTTGACATGGAGCAGGTTTGACTGCTCTGGAAGGATCCAGGTGGTTTACACACCGGGGTGATGGGAGGGGTTCTTCTCCTTTCTTTAGAAGACTGGCAGACACAAGAGCGCTGGCCTTGGTGTTAACCCGGCATTGAACCCAGCTGACCATTCCCAGGGCCCCACCTCACATGCCAGCATCCTGGTGACTTCTGGGCTTGCTGGCTGAAGGTGAGCTGACCTCACCAGTGGCAGTGGCACTCAGGAGGCCTCAGGGACAGCCAGGAACCCCGGGTCTGCACCTGTCCACCACCATCCAATGGGGTGGCCAGGAAGGCCAAGCCTCCTCAAAGTCTCTCAACTGCCAGGCACTACCTTTCCTGCTCCTTTGGTTCTGGTGTTTAATCCTACAGGGGGTTAAAGGAAGGCAGGAAGTGCAGGAGAGAACACAGCACCCCCCAGGCTGCACTGGGTTTTGATGGTTATGCCCAGCCAGTCCCACACCTATTTTGGGAGGTGGTGGGGCGAGAGGTGAGGAAACACAAGCCAGATGTTAACATGTAAGGAAGTGGTGACATCCCAACTCCCACACACCAGGGCCAAGCCCACAGCTGGGGGGAGCCACGGGTGGAGAAGGGCACCGCCCAGGTGGATCCGCTTGCCAGGGAAGCCCACCTGTCAGCTCACCCAGGGCCTCCACAGTGGCTCTTCTCTCCCTGCAGGGGGGACATGGAGACTGTGCTGGGGCTGGAAGAACAAGACCACTGGTCCCAAGTCAGCAGCCCTTCCCAGCCACTCCTGCAGAGGCCCATTCCCTACTGAATGGCACTGGAGGGAAGGGACCTGGGAGTCATCTCTCCACTCTCTCCTTTCCCAGGTAGAAACTAAAGACTTGAGATTCATTAAGGAATCAGCTATGGGTGATTATTAGGCACTGAATTGTGTCCCCTCCTAAATCTTACGTTGAAGCTGCTGACATTCCTCCCACCATGTGACTGTATTTGGAGATGGGTTCTTTAAGGAGGTAATGAAGGTCACATCAGATCGTGGGGGTGCTATGGGCCAGGCTTTATGGGCAATGACCAAACAGACTCCATTTTACCCTGAGACTCCATATCATGTAAGAAATGCTTCTCTCGTGGGAAAGCCCCACCTCTGGACCCAATAATAGTTACCTACTATAACATACTTGGGAACATAAAATTCTTACACAATGTAAAATTGTTCTCTTTGCTTTCCATATTTCTTGGGCAATGTATCTTGTTAGAGATTGATTGTCCAGACGTTAGTAACCATTCTCTAACTTATACTCAACTAGGGTCATTTTGACCCACTTCCTTTCTGCTGGCTTGCTGCTATGCCAACCTGGAAAGTCCTGTGGGAAATACCAATGTACCCATTGCATTGTCCCGTTAACTGCCCAGTCCAGCTTCTGTACTTTCTTGCTTACATTGGCTAAACCCCCAAACATCCCTTTTGTGATTTTTTTTGGTGTTAAATATGAGGGCAACTGAAGGCGGACACGCCACTCTGACTATCTCATTCTTTAGAGAGAAAGGTGTCCACCGCTGGCCAGCAATAAAGGCTTAATTAGAATGGCAATGTGTGGTTTGAGAGTTATTTGAGGGTCTTGGTATTGGTGTAACAGGGACTCGTGTCGTTATAAGGTGAAGAGACACCAGGGAGGTAGGTGTATGCACAGAGGACACGGGTGGAAGTTGCCATCTGCATTCCCCAGGACAGTGGCCTCAGAAGAAACCACCCTGCCAATGCCTTGACTTGCACTTCCAGCCACCAGACTGGGAGAACACATTTGTGTTTTTTCAGCCGCCGGGACTGTGGTCCTCTGTTACAGCAGCCCCAGCTGACTATTATAGTGATAAAGCTCAGAAGTCTTGACAGATTCACCCCTAGGTAGGAATGTCTTCCACAGGAATGACCTCTGGGAGACAACCCACAGATGCAGGCACAAGCCCCCGGACACCCTCGGCTGGAGCTCAGGGATCACTCGTTTCCCTAGGCCCCTGGAAAGGTGAGAGTGGCTGGTGTTAAGAACTAGCACTTCTTTTGCCATGAAAACTCCACTTTCACTCCATCCAACTATCAGAAGAGTGCCAAGCACACCAGGACTCATGGCTCGTCACCTTTTGTAAGTCGATTAGGCCTCCCTGGGAGTGCTACTAGGCAGGTCAGATGGTGGCCTCCCCCAAACCCCAGCACACTCCTGCTCTCTACAGGTGAACTACACACAGCTTGGTCAAGTGCTGTGTGTCTGCATTTAAGGCCCCGCTGGGAGAACTGCAGGAGACGTGTCGTGGCTGACTGGTTCAGTAGCACCTTTGGTGTGCTGGGGCCAAGGTGGAGAATTGCTGTCTGATAGGGGCCTGGCTGGGGAGCCATCCTGCACCCCAGTGTATCTGCATCTTCTCATTGTGAAGCTGAACTCTAAGGAGCAATTCCAGTGTGCCAGCCTGTGCCAGATGCACAGCATGTGACTGAACTCAAGGCATAGCAAGGAGCAGTGTGTAGGAGTCCCTGAGCCTTTTCACAGGATTGGACAGACTCTGTGCAAAGCAAGGAGGAATCATCTTGTGGCTACTCAGTGGGCAAGGTCACCTGGGGTAGGAGACTCAGTGCACGTTTTACAGGCTGTACCTCAAGAAGTGGCGGGGAGGGGTATTGTGTCCCTGCTTCAATGTCGAGTCCCTTTTCTTTCCCTCTGGTTACCAAATATGGTCTGGACAGTGCTCACACCTGTGTGAATTACAGACCTGTGGTCCATGGGGTTTCTTGGGGACCTTGGAAAGGGCCTGTGGAAGAGTGTCACGGGTGCCACAGACTAAGTGCCTTGCAGGGAGAACTGACTGCCATCAGACTGCAGTCCCCTCCCATAGCAGAGTGTGGCCTGCAGGGAATGACCGGACATCTGCCACTAAGGAGGTGGTGCTTATGCATGCTTTCTCATTTGGCACATTTACAAATTCTAGGTGACAATGACGTTAATGGTGATAGCAGCAGAGCCCGAACCTTCTCTGAGTTCACCTCCGAGCACCCTCATTCACCCTGGAGAATCCTTCCCTGTGAGGCCACCTGGTCTGTCCTTTCTGGGGCCTTGGTAGCACAGTCCCCTCTGGGTATCCGGTCTCCTACCTTTTTCTGAAAGCCCATGACAGGGATGTTACATCTCACGCCAGCGTCCTCCTCGTGGCTGCAGCCCTGGGTCTCCGTGTTGAGTTTGCACTCTATGATGGACTTCTCCGTCCCCGTGCACTGGACCTCATTGAGGTGGATGGGTCCCATCCCTGGTGAGGCAGAGGGTCATGGGCCATGAAAGCGTCAGAAGGCAACCTCTGAAACTGGTGAGAAAGCTCTGGACAATGAAAACCTGTCTCTCCCATCCTCCAAACTCTCCTAACTGCCGCCTGTGGTCAGCTCAGAGACCCCAGCTCTTCTCCCTGGAAAGAACACTGTAATTATCTTGGGATTGACTTCCACCATAGGAGCAAGGAAAATTCTTTACTAACCTGAGGTGTGATCTTGGCCAAATCACAGTGTTTCTTACATTGATAAAGGAGCTGGACTAGAAGATATCTAAGTTTCCCACTTCAGTGTTCCAGGCATTTACGAATCCTAAGCCTTGACTGCTGCTAAATCAATTAGGGTCTTTGCAGGAAATAGATGGTACATACAAATTGGGTGTCTGAATTAGAAAAAGGGAACTTTAAAATGAAGGTATGGATGGAGTGCAGAAATCACAAAGGAAGGTCCGGTACTCAGGAGCTAATAACATTGGAACTTGGATGTACCCCTGTGAGTAACAGGAAGAAGCCACCTGATAAGAGCTGTCCCCTTGGTGGAGGGACAGCACCCATGGGAGCCCTATAGGGAAATAAACATCCCCTGCTCTCCTCTCCTCTGGTTCCTGTCAGTGCTCTGTGTTGACCAAACCCAGCTGTGCCTTTGGGCACCTGGCACCCTGGGCAACCGTGGGGAGTAGAACTGGAGGGGCAGATGGGACATATCTAGCAAGTGCCCCTTGGTGACAATGTGGGGACCCTTCTCTTAGTAGCACTGGGATGACAGTAGTGAGCCTTCCACAGCTGGGGAGAGAAATTCCGGGGCGACCACTCTCCAGTTCCCTTCTGCTCACAGAGGCTCTGCCCCTCTGCCAAGGCCATCAGGCAGCAGCAGGTGCAGTTCTTGGCACGTGCTCTGGGGTTCACAGACCCCCACTTTTTGGACCCTGCTCTGCTGCTATCTCTTTGCCCTCCTGATCCTCCCCATCCCCCCACATGGGTCCTGTCCCTCAGTGCTCTAATATTATCTCAAACTTCCCATCTTTACAGGCCTCGCCTATGACCCCATGCCTCCCTTGGGCCTGGCACTCTCCTCCCCACTGGGGCAAACCTCTGGGAAGAGTCTCCTGAGATCTTCCCTCGCCTTCTCTGCCAGCCCTCCCTGTTCCAGGAAATGGCACCTCCAACCACCGAGCTGTTTTTGCTGGAACCCAAAAGGTCATCTCTTGGACCTTCTCCTCCTCCTCCTCCTCTTCCTCCCGAATCCCTGACAACCCATCAGTCATGTTCTGCTCACTCCTCAAAATCCGGATACGTTTTCTTCCCATCGCTGTGACACAATATGACCCTAACATCTCCCATGTACAAAGACACAGTGGCCTGTGAGCCTTCTTCCTTCTGGCTGGTTTCCTCCTATTGGCCACAGAACAGCCCAGGAGAGCTTTAAATGCACCTTGGATCATGTCACTCCCCATCTGAAAATGCCTGGCTGGCGGCTTAATGCACCGAGGGAGAAGCAGGCAGAATTCACAGTCCTCAAGTGGCCTCCGAGGTCCTGCGTGATCTGGCTTCACTTTCGTGCTCCCGCTCTGCCTGTTGTCCTCCTCTCTGCTGGGTCTCGTGGCTCTCCACGGAGCTGAGTGCTCCCTCTGCCTGGACTGCTCTCCCTTCCAGGGCTCACCAGCTGACTCTCGCTCATCCTTCACTTCCCTAGAGAAGCCTTTCTGACCCCTACATCACCCTACTCTACTTTGGATTCCCTCACTGAGCACACTGCTTTACTGAACATCTGTCTATCTTCCCCGCTGGGCTGGAGGACCCACAAGGGCAGGGCCCCTGGCTTTCCCTTTGTGTGTTCCCAACCAGTGCTTGGCATATAGCAGATGCTCCCTAGTGTCTCTGCAGATGCTGTTGACTTCACTGAGCACCTGTTACTCATCAGCCTCTGTGCTAGGTGTTGAAGATTCAAGGAGGGAAGAGCTAAGAGCATCCAGTCCTGGGGGAGGCAGGAGTTACACAAAGACTTGTGAGGTCAAGAATAGAGACAGAGAAAACCACAGGTGCTTCAGAGCCCACAGAAGGTTCTCTTGACCCTGTTGGGGGGTTCTGGAGATAGACAGTGTCTAAGCATACTGAGGCCACAAACTGCCTTCTGGGATCCACTCCTACAGTAGGTAAGAGCCAAGTTTCCATTTCTCTGGAAATCCATAAGCAATGATGCTTCCAATTCCCAGGAATTTTATAAATTTATAAAAACACTTGTGAGACAATGGTTGAAAGCACCCAAAAAGGGGCTGGGAATGTGGCTCAAGTGGTAGCGCGTTCGCCTGGCATGCGTGCGGCCCGGGTTCAATCCTCAGCGCCACATACAAAAAAGATGCTGTGTTCGCCAATAACTAAAAAATAAATAGTAAAAAAAAATTTTTTTCTCTCCCCCTCCCCCCCCCCCCCCCCCCCCAAAAAAAAAAAAATAAAATAAAAAAAGAAAGCACCCAAAGGCTCAAGAGTGCAAAGGTATGTGTGACACAGTACAGATGCTAAACAGAGCCCTTGAAGCAAGCACAACTTATAGGTCACAGGAAGGAGCAGCAGCCTGGGGTCTAGGTCCCCAGGGGCCTCAGGGGCTTTCTGCAGACTCTGAGTATGGTGATGGGGATTTGATGACAGCTGATCTTTATTGAGCACTCACTATGAGTTGGGTGGATCCCATCCTAAACACACCGCTTATAAACATCATTTCTTCATTACAGCGATCCCATAAAATGAGGAATCTGAGCAGCAAATATGAAGTAACTGACCCAGTGGGGGATCCAGGATTCAAACCAGACAGTGGCCCCATAGCATGCTCTCGCTGAGCTTCTGAAGCCCTCTCAGGAGAACCAGGAGGGAAACCTAGGTCAGAAAGGAGCTCCCTCTCTGGGTTAGGTCCCCGTCTTCCCTTGGGATGCTCCAGCTGCCTCCTGCTCCTGGGGTGCCTTCTCCTTTCTGCCCACCTCAGAAGACGACGTCAAGTAGCACTTCAGATCTGTCCCCCTCCCTGACACAGCTTGATAAAAACCTCAGCATCGTCTAAACTGCTGCAGCCTTTACAGCTCTGGCTTAGGAGGCAATGAGCTGGTCCGCTGGCCCCAGGCCGAATCCAGTCTCAGGATGAGGCCAGGGAGCCACGGATCCGTGGGACATGGCACACCTTCCTGAGCCGTGCTCGTCTGTAGAAGGGCAATGATAACACTGATGGTGCAGGCTGGAGGTCGTGAGGAGTGGGTGAGACTAAGTCCTTTAGGTTCCTAGGGACCCAGGAAATGGCAGGCACTGTCATCAGTATTATTCCTTATATATCATCAACTATTTGTTAGTATAAGTTATCTTTGGGTTATTTCTTATTTCTCTCACTTGATGCCAGCTCTTTAAGAGCAGAAACCATAACTAAAGGTGTTGATGGAATAAATGAATTCTCCACTTCAGGATGCAGCCCAAATGGCCCTCAGAGGATAGTGGAGGGTTGCTAGACCATGGTGTAGGCCTCGTCAAGAGGAGAATGTTTAACTCAAGGCTTGACATGCTTTAAACTCCATCTGGCAATTGGTCTGTCCCCTTCTGTCTTAATTTCTATGTAAACGTATTGACTCTGCCAGACATCAAGGAATGAGACCCTGGAAGTATGTGTCCAGGCCCACTCTCTGGCACATCAGAGAGAGCCCAGAGATGGGAGGTTCAGTGTGTCCCACCCTCTTCCCTGCCCCTCCCTGTTCTGTGATGTGGGGGATGGTGGTGACACGCTGTGCACTGGGGACCAGCTATAGCATGCTGGGGACCTTTGGGCCCCTGGTTCCTGTTCCTGACTTGGGTTTGATATTCTGCATCCTTGACCTTCAGCTTTTACTTGGTTCTGGGTTCTGGATTGTTCCCCAAAGCCCTCTCTTCATAGTACCTTTCCACCTCCACCCTGGCTCTGCTCCTCCTCCATGTACAGACCCTGGCCTGGGTGACCACACGTTTGGAGGAGCCACAAATGACCTCCTGGAGCAATGCCATGGGCTCTGTGGTGTCCAGGCCATTAGAGGTCAAACCGACAACTAAGCCAGCTATAATCAGATTTTAGAAAACATGACAAAGCAGAACGGGACTTTCGGTGCTCTGCATGTTGTCAAGGTAAAGCCTCTTTCACAAAACCTCTGCTTCAGTTTTGGATGTATGGCACATCTGCCAATTATCTCTCACTGTGAACCGAAGAGGTTTAAAGCCACTTCTCTGGCACTGCCCTGCCAAAATAGTAGACAGTGGCCACGTGTGGCTGCTGAGCTCCGAAAATGTAGCCAGTACAAACAGACATGCTGCAAAGTCTAAATTATACCCTGGATTTCAAGGACTTTGTACTGAAAATGCAAGCAATCTCATTAATAGCCTTTATATTGATTACACATTGAAATCATAATATTTTGGATATACTGAGATAAAGGAAATCTTAAAGTTAGTTTCACTATTAGACTATTAGAAAATTCAAAATTACACATATTATATTTCTATTGGACAGTGCTGGTCTAGAGTGTTGGAACTACCCCAGGTGTCTGTTCAGATGACTCCTCTTATTCCTGTGGGACATGTTCATTCATTGTTTACCATGTGACCATCTCTGGAGCACATGTGTTGGGCACGCTGTTCACTCTCTCAGCTGTCAATGTGACCAGGTCTGGGTTGGGGTGAGGGTAAAAGGAGGCAAATCTGGGGCTTAAGGTCCTCTCCAGCAGTGCTGTCTATGATCCCAAGACTGTCTCTAGTCCACAGGAGCCTCCATCCAGCCTCAGGGAACCACTTAAGTGTTGTCTCCTAGTAGCTGGGGCACTGCATCCTACAGAAAGGACCAACAAATGGCCATAGAGAGGTGAACTCCCCTGCTAGAACTGGGAAAGCTCCACGTTCTTTAAGTGAGCTGGAGGTGAAGTTCAACCCAGGACTCTGGAGTCTCACACTGGGAAGCCACTGGATGTGGCACTCAGGCCCTGGGTGAGGGGGGACTATTATTCCTCCAGGCTGCAACCAATGACCTCACCACATTCCTTCCTGTGGGGTGATGGCTCCACATCTGACGGTATGGGAACATCCTCTCCCCACACTGTAGGACACCCCACCCCTCATCCACAGCCCAAGAACCTTCCTCATCGCCTCCTCCCAGCCAGAGTGGCCCACGGCTGCAGCAGCCTCCCTGTACGCTGGAACTATCCCAGGAAATGACTGACCATGACTTTCCTCACCCAAACCCAGTTCTCCTAGGGAGGGCTGTGCACTCACGGCTTATGGTGGATCTGGGGTGAGGACTCCTCCTTTGGAAGGACCAGGGCTTGCAAGCATGAGCTGTCTTCGTGAGGCCCAGAGGCAACCTGTCCTGCCATCTCAAAGTGACAGCACTGCTCTCAACAGACAGCCCCCACGAAAGCTTTCTGTACTTATGTTCTTTGCTCACATGAAAAATTTGTTCAGGACACTTAATAAAAACCAGGCCCTTTCTCATTAGTGTTTCATGAGGTCAGAGAAGGGCACGCTGTTCACTCTCTCAGCTGTCAATGTTTGTGAGACTGCAGCAGGGTGGAAAGTAAGGTGACAATGGGTTCATTTGTGTCCTGCATGGTCCTCAGCCTGAGACCCTGCCCTGGAGGAAGGCCTGGAAATCCTGTCTTTCTTGGAGGGGCAGCAGAGAGCCCAGGGTAAGGAGTTAGGAGAGCAAGGCTGGAGTGTTCTCTGGTTGCCAGTGTCATTTTGTTTCGAGGACTGACTCCCTTCTCTGGGCCTCAGCTTCCAAACCCATGAAGTGGGGACTCAACGCTCTCCGAGGTCCCTTTCAGCCCCAATTGTCTGGGGAGAAGTTTGCGATTCTCTAATGGAGCAGCAGCAGCTGCCGGTGGAGGAGCAAAGCACCAAGGGCTGGATGAGGTCACGGTCCCCAGCTGAGGCCAAGCTACAGAGATGTTTTCCCGTGAAGAGAGGCCCCACCAACAGCTGCCCTGTACCTTACCTTGACCCAGCCGGGAGCCTGTGACGGCCTCTTTGGCAGTCCCGAAGCCCAGCTCTCTGCAGACCACGCTGGCCGACACCAGGTCCCACTTGTCGTCACAGACGGTCCCCCATTCTCCGTTCTTGAGCACCTCCACTCGGCCCTCCCCGACCTGGGCACCACCTCGCAGCCGCACCAGGGGTTGCTGAAGAGACACACCATCCTGCTGAGTGCAGAAGCCGAGGCGCGTTCGGCCAGCCAGCGGTCACTGCCCGCTCCCCGCCACCCCCCCTGCTTTCTGCCAGGCCAGGTCCCCGGTCTAGGAGCTGAAACTGTGCCAGATGTGTTTGCGAGGGGTGGTGGGGAGGGGGTCATGCAGCAGAGTCAGCTCAGCACAGCTTCCTCTGCAGCCCCCCAGGAGATCTTCTGTCCTGGACCACTGGGGATCTCACCAAGGACCCTCATGAGATCGTCACCCCACCCTAGGCATGGCTCCAGGATCCCACCATCACTTGACTGCAGAACCTCCTGTGTGAGAGCTATGGACAGAAGCTCCTATCCCCAAATCTGCAAATTCACAACCCCACTTGCTTACAGTGCAGCCCTGGAGACCAGGCCTGCAGGGAGCCTGCCCTGTGGAGAGTCTGCTGTGCCCACCCACGAGAGGCAGGAAGGAGCAGATAGAGGAATGGGAAGATCGGGAGCTAGAAAGTGAGGTTTTACCCAGAAAGCCAGACCTAATCAGGCCATGACTCATAGCACAGATGCCTCAGGGACGGGGAGCCTCCCTAGTTAAGACTAACATCTGTCCAGCTGCTCCCTGATTCCAGTCCCAGCCCAAAGCAGCCTGATTTCAGAAGATATAGCCTCCCCGCCCCCAGCATGCAGAGGTGGGAGCATTATGGTTTAAATGGCCCTGGTGCTCACGGATGGCCTGGAAGCCTTCCTCCCCTTCTGGGGTTTCTGGACTTGGACCAGCATCCTGAAGCCAATGGTCATGTTCCACAGATGGAAACCACTGGCCTCAATCTGTTCACAAATTCTGCTTTGCACCAGTTTCTGTGCATGTCTGCATGCTGTGCACACTTACCTACTAGCATTTCTGCATGTGCACGTGTGCTGAGGGAGGCTCAGAAGTCTGTGCGGCTCTGTTATTGGGCGACTGTGACATCCTAGTCAGAGCAGACCACAGTCCTTGTTCCACCCTGACCTATGCTGACCTTGGCCCAGGACTCCCTTCAACCCACCCACCCATGGCAGGGATGAGGCAGGCTTGGTTGGAAGGGGTGGATTTCAAGAATTCACATCCCTTGGCCACCTGAGGGTGGCCTAGCTCTCCACAGCTGCCACTCTCTCTCTCCCAGTGGTGGCACCTAGCTAGCCTGGCAGGATGGGGTGCTGGGGAACTCACAGACCCCCGGGACTGCTCTGATCCAGGCACTAGGGAGAGAGGGGAAAAAAGGAGGGGATGGGATGAGGGCAAATTGCCCAGTGGCTTTAGGAGCTTTTATTCTCACTTCAAAAAAATGGAACATAATCAATAAAACTGCTGTTTTCTGCAGAACTTGATCTCCCCTCCCTGCTCCCTGGTCTCAAGCTGTCTAGGGGGATGCTAGGGGGCTCCTCCCATGGAACCCAGCATCCTGGCCCCAGATTGATGGAGGCAGAGTGTCAGATAACCTAGCCCCAGCCCAGCAGTGGCCAGGCAGCGTCAGCTGGCCCTGGAGGGAAGCCGGAAACCAAGGAAAATATGATGTAATCATCCTGTTTCTTTCTTTCCTTCTTTTTTTTCTTTTTCCATTGGTTTGGTACGAACTTGATTGCTCTGTTATAAACCACACAGCAGAGTAATTCCAAAACAGTAGGATCTGGTACTCTGGATGACACATGAGGAGTGCTCACGGGCTCTGGCTCAGGCCAGGGAGAGGACGTGGCCATCAGACTGCGCAGCAGGGGAGGTGGGGCATGCAGGGGGCTGGTTTGGCTTGTGGAGGGCTGTGAAATAGGGTTGCCTAGGAGGGCCCACGTCCCCTGGCTGCGAGCACTTCTGGTGGTGTGGTCATGTCTGTGTACTCTGAAGCCCCTGAGGGGCTGAGGAGGCAGGAAGTCACTCCAAACAGTCCCTACACCTTGAGCTGAAAGCCAGGCTCACGGCCTGTACTGTGCCCCTTTCATCTAAGGCTCCTCTTCTGTCTAAACATTTCCCCAGTCTGGGAGAGGCACCCTGGGGGCTTCTGGCTGTCACCCTGATTTCATTTCTCTTCCTAGGAGCAGTTCTGCAGGTGCCACAGGGAGGGAAGTAGGGGAGGACCAGGGGAGGGACAGAGGGGACAGGAGGCAGTGAGGAGAGAGGATACCCCAGAGAGGGGAGGGGCTGTTGCTCACATGCCACCCACCGCCCACACCTGTCTGACAAAGGACTCCCTGCTGCCTCCCTCCGCTCCCTTGTACCCCGGGTCAGACCTCAGCTAACACGGGATGCACCAGGCTGCAGTAAACGACTACCAAGTACCCGGGTTGGATGGGCAGGGACACAGCCCTGACCAGTGGTCAGCCTCTCTCCTCCCCCTCCCTCTTCTCTTCCCACATGCTTTTCTTGCCCACCCACCCCCTATCAGCAGTTTCCAGAACAGAAATATCACAGGGACCATTTGGCGGATGTATGAAAAAAGAAGAGCGAACTGCCCTTCATGGTTATGGAGGGAAGACAGAATAGGGCACCTTCGCTTTTGCAGAGGAAGGGTCAAGCCTGCCAGATGCCAAGGGCCACACCTCCAGCCCCATGCTCACCTCTGGTTTGTAGGCCTTCCGGAACCTCGAAGGCCCATCAGGGCTGAAGATCTGGCCAGGCACACAACTGACCACAGCTGGCTGTCCATTCTCACAGGTGATGTTCTTCACAGGGTCCCAAGACACATGGGGGCCCAGCTTGCAACTGGAGATGTGGGTCTCCGTGCCGGTGCAGTTCATGGAGAACCGCCAGTAGTGCTGCTTCCTCCGAGGGGCAGACATTCTGCAGAGGGGAGAGAGGACGGTGACCAGGGCATCGTGGCACCCAGCCCTGATTCTGGTTTGAAGCAGAACAAGATGGACATGGCCGCTGCTCCCAGAGCTCAGCCTGCCTCCAAGACAGGGTCCTGCTCAGTGTGTTCTGCCAGCACCCCCTGAGCCCAGGTTTATGCTGGACACTTGGGGACAGGACCCAGAGGGTGCACAGGGCCTACTGCCCTCGGGCAACTGCCATTCTAGGAGAGCAAGGACTAACTCAGGCACTGAAATAATAATGACACAGCCTGTCCATACAAAATGCAACAAGGTTTCTAGGGAGGTGAGATCCCGGATCCCAGGACCCCATTCTCAGTGACTGGCAACCCTAACTCTTCAGTTAATTTAAGCACAAGCTGTTGTCATTCACCGGCTTTATTTCTCTTTGTCAACCATCAGTACAAGTTGACAGCTAAACTCTCTCCCAATGATAGTCAAGACAAAATATGTAATCCCGTGAGAACAGTCTTAAATGACCCCATCTGTGGCATCAAAAGTACAATTTTCTTAGTAGTGGTAAAAAAAAAACAAAAAACAAAAAATGCCCCTGCTCTTATCAAATCCTCACCCAGGAAAATCAGTGAGGTGGAAGCTGTCACCATATCATGTCCTAGGAAATTTCTTAGTCTGTATTTCCTACACATGCAAATTGTTCCTTTTTCGTTTTTTTTTTTTTTAAGGCAGAATATGGATTAAGATAAGACAATGTGGTTTTTTTTTCCAAAATAATAAGTAATATACGGATTAATAAAAATGTAACTATGACTCAGTTTCCTCATGTTCAAAGCAGAAGTAGAATAAATATCTACTTAATAAGACTATGATGTGTATTAGCCCATTTTCAGCTACTCTAACAGAATATCACAGACTGGATAATTTATAAACAACAGAAGTTTGTTTAGCTCATGGTTCTGGAGACTGAGAGAAGTCTAAGAGCATGTTGCCAGCATCGGGGGAGGGCCTTGGGTCACCTCATGGTAGAACAAGCAGGCATACACAAGACAGAGGAAATTGGGCCAAACTTACTTTTAAAACAAAACCAGTCTCGTGATGACCAACTCAGTCCCACAAGAGTGGCATTAATCCATTCAGAAGCACAGAGTGCTCAGGAATAAGTCTTTTTTTTTTTTTTTTTTTTTTGGTGCTGGGATTAAACCCAGGGACACTTAACCACTGAGCCACATCCCTGGACCTTTTTCCTTTTTTATTTTGAGACAGGGTCTTGCTAAATTGCTGCAGCTGGCTTTGAACTTGCAGCCCTCCTGTCCTAGCCTCCTGATTTGCTGGGATTACAAGTGTGTAGCACCATGCCCAGCTACCAGTCATCTCTTAAAGGCCCTACTTCTTAAAACTGTTCCCATTGCAATTCAATTTCAACATGAGTTCTGGAGGGGACAGTCAAACCACAGCATTTTGACAGTTAAATTAATCAAAATTTATAAAGCTCTTAAAACAGTATGTGAAACATAGGAAGTGTCTGTTCAATAAATAAACAAAAACTGTATGGCTAAAGGGGGAAAAGCGGGGCTGGGGTTGTAGCTCAGTGGTAGAATGCCTGCCTCACACACATGAGGCACTAGGTTCGATCCTCAGCACCACATAAAAAGAAATAAAGATTGTATCATCTACAACTTAAAAAAAATTTTAAAAAGATTAAAAATAATAATAAAAAAATAAAGGGGGAAAAGCTGTATGGCTAAAGGAGGGACCCCTGTGGCTAGAGAGACGAGGGTGACTTCATGGGAGAGCAGGCTTGTTACCAGGCCTTGAGTGATCGTGGGATTTGAAAAGGAGGAGGGAAGAAGCACCCTGTCCTCTCATGCTGCCAGCTCTTTGGGGCCTATGCACTTGACCCTCCTTGGCAGAACTTTGCAAGATGCCACAGAAAGTCAGACAGCATCATGGCCAGCTGCCCAATAGAAGAGTCTGTCTGGGCAGGCTGACCCTTAAAGGGCCAGAAGTGTCCTGAAAGCATCTGCTTTGTCTTGGGGTGAATGAGATGTGAGCACAGAGGAAATCCTACAGGCACCGTCATCCTCTCCTTAACCCAAACTGGGGCTTGTGACAATTCCAGTACACCTGTGGGTGCAACGACACAAACCTTTGAAATACAGACTATCCTGGGAAATTCAGGATGTGTGCTCGCCACAGTGACATCACAGAGTGGAGAACTCCACAGGAGGACTATTAATCATTCCAAGAACCACCACCCGCCCCTCCCTACTTCCTGCAAGGCCCCAGCAGAGGGAAACCCACAGCTTGTTCCCCTGGACTCCCCCACATCGGCTGACCGGGAGGACACACTCAGGGGAACAGGAGCTGCACGAGGATTGGTCAGACCACACTGGGCAGCCTTGGCTGAGGAAGTTCCTCTGGCTTCCAGCCGTCAGTGAACACTACCCTCTCCAGGAACAGATGTCCCAGGCTCTAATTGAGAGCGAAGCACCCACAGCAAACGCGGAGCGGCCCCAGCCCTGCTCTTGCCTTCCCCGGGCAGCCCCGATTCCATCTTACATCAGCTCCCAGGAATGCACAGCCCACCGTGACCCTCCATGGGCCTTCAGCAGCCAGGGGCCCCCTCCTTCTCTATCCCAGCATGATTCACTCTGGATAGATGGACTTGCTGGCCCCAGCAACGCAGAGAGGAGGCTCTGGGGAGATTGGAGGGATGACTGGCCAAGATGGAAGCCACTTACAAAAGAGGTCTCCAGGCCCATGGCTGGGGATTAGTGGGAGCACTGAGCTGGACCCAGTCCATTAAACTTGCAAAGTCCTAGAGGCTCCCCGGCCAAGGGGGAACTAGGTTGTGTGGGATCCTGCCAGCTGCTGAGTATGTCTACTCCAATTGTTCTTTCCAGAATTGAGAAATTAGGTTTGAGATCCACTGGATTCCCCTTAAGACAGACTCAAGTTAAAACTCCATAAGCCCCTGGACTGGAGGGCCACAGGGATGTTTTGGATCTCCTGGAATCAGCTGGAATCAATACCCAGAAGTCCCTAAAAGATTTAATTATTTCCTTCTCCCCAGTGCATGGTCATCCTGGTAAAGGGACCCTTTGGAGAAGGCTGAGAGAAACTACAACAGTATAAGCTTTGGCAGGGCACCTAGGTCCTTTATCAAGGGAACCTGGCCTCTCCTTCTTTCTGGAGTTTTAGGTCTGTAAAGTGGGGCTCAAGTCTGGGAATTGACTTAAGGGCTGTGACTTTCTATTGTTCTGATTCAGGTTAGACTTGTTCACTTGACCTAGAACTTGTCTGCTTTTGCAGGTGACGGGAGAATTCAGTAGGCTTCTCTTATCACTGGGAGGAGCACCAAATGCACTTGTCAGAGCAGAGGTCTGCAGGAGTCAGACTCTGCTGTCCCTGCAGGGAACATCCCTCTTGTCTTTGGTGGTTGATTGGCACCACTTCCTGCCACTCTGAGTTACTCCCGTTGCATTAGGTTTCCCAGTTTGGTGCTGCCTTCCCACTGGGGTCTGGCCCACAAAGAAGAGACACTCCAGAGCTCTTCAAGGAGGCAGGGGCCCCTCATAAACTTGCTCATCACCGCATGGTGAAGGGTGTGCATCCTCGACCCTTCTGCCTGAGCAGGTCTTCAGTGACAAACCCACTCCAACAGTTCAATCTCCCTCAGCCTTGGCATTCCTTCCCCTATGTTAGACCAAGGCAGGCCCAGCACTCACAGTGGGCTTGGAAAGTTCAGCTAACCAAACTGTCAGAGCCCTTTCTAACTCCTGAGTCACGAGCAGAATTCCGAGCAGAATTGCCGCTCAGCGAGTTCATCTCAAATCAATACCTACATTGAGATCCTGCGTTTTAAAATCAAGATGATGACTACACAGTGTAATTGGCCCCAGGGATAGGGCCCTGATGTGTAAGCTTCGTAGCTTCAGGGCACATACATGGCTCCCCAGACCAGCGCAGAAGCCAGGGCAGGGAGAGAGTAGTCTTGGGTCAGGATGGCTGACTCTACTTGTGGTGAGGCTATGGGTGCAGAAGCCTTTGGGGTGTGGGCAAATGAAAGGAGAACAGATGCTCTGAGGGCATGGGGGTAACCTGAACCTGTGAGTGACCAGCAGCTCTGCAGGTTAGCAGAGAGAGCCAGTCCCAGTAAGACAGTGGGGCGAACCCAAGACAGAGAGGCTCGGGGCCTAAACAGGTGAATTTCCAAACTGCAAAATTCAGAAGGGGCTTTGGAGAATGCTGAGATTATTACAGACACAGACTGAGAACTACTTTGAAAACAACTTCCTTCCTAGCGCCACCGGGCTGCATGGGAGGTGTGGTGTCAGCATCACATCACAGGCTGTGGGAAGAGTGAATGGGAGATGGGGAAAGGTGCTACTGGAAGCTACTGATTCAGGGACCACGAAGGCCCCCAGTCTTGGCTTCTAGGCTTCTGTGGGCCTCAACCTCTGAGCGGGGTCCCTGGATATCCTGTTTCCCAAATCAGCAGTGCCCCAGCCCTGCCGAGCTGGCCTGGCCACCAGGAGGACCTGCCACACCAGGAGGAACTGCCACGGTCGTGGTGTAGACCTCAGAGGACAGCTGTCGTGGAGCAGCCCTGAGCAGTCCTGAAGGCTCCTCAGGAGCAGGCAGTGTGTCTGAGGCCCACTACCCTCAGGTCTCCATCTCCTCTGCAGACTGCAGACATGGGCCAGTGATCTCCGAGGCTTGCTGCAATCCAGGAGCCCTGGCTCTGTGCCATTAGCTCCCTCCAGTCTCTGCCAGCTCAGCCCCAGAAGTACCACCAGAAATTCTTCCCTTTATCCCAGAGCACATAGAGGCCCAACTAGCCACTGAGTCCCAGAGACTAACCCCCAAACAACAGAGAGGCTTACAGAGAGACGCTCAGGAGGCTTCACACCCTCCTGCCACCCCCTCGCTGTGACCCTGACCCTAACCACCTGGGACAACTCCTGGCCTTCAAATCCTTTCCCTCCTCTCAGTTAAAAAGAGAAATCCACACTGTGGGGGGTGACAAGAGCAGGGAGCAGTTCAAACACGTGACGATTACTGGGGCCATGCCCAAAGTGGCCTCAGATGGCCTCCTCAAAAGCAGGAGAGGGACTTTGATAGCCACAGGTGAAGAAAGCTTTCTAATGCCATCTGAACAAGCCAATACTGCCCAGCTCAGACCTGTGGCCCGGCTGGGGCTCAGGTGGGGCCAGCCAGGGAGGAAGCCTGTGGGGGAGGAGTTGGGTTTCCTCTCTCCCATTGGTAGCAAAAGCCGAGACCAGAGTGTGTCGCCAGGGAGAGCTAGCCAGTTGGTGGGGGTCCCCCAAATATTCAGGTGATAGAGACCTCCTGGTGCCAACAAGGTCTGAGCCCTTTTCAGGGACTTGTAGGGTGGCACTCACCACTGTGTCACCCCAGGGTGCTGTCCACACTCACTCTTGTACATGGTGGGCTGGGGGCTAGGAGCAAAGCGTAGCCCTCTTTATCTGTGTTTAGACCATGACCAGGCAGGACAGGGCCAGGTACCCAGAGGGACACAGCTTACCCTGCACCTCAGGAAACCAGAGGTAGAGCTGGGGCCTGAATCCAAAGTCAGGAAGAGGCAGCGTGAGAGGGCACTTTCCAGGAGGGTGGACCCTGCACCCGAGGCCTGGATCTGCCACTTACTGGTTCTGTGACTTTTCTCCAGTTTCCTCAGCTTGAAACTAGACCCCACTTCTTGGTAGCATTGCTAAGATTAAAAGAAAAAGAACAGTTCCTGGCACACAGTCAGCACAGAGAGACAGGAAAACCTCACTTTCAACTGAATTCCAGCGCCTCTCTATCCTAGGATTCTGCACCTGCAGATTCAACCAATCTTGGGTCAAAAATGCTATGAAAAAAAATATCTGCACTGAAGATGTACAGACTATTTTCTTGTCATTATTCCCTAAACAATACATCACGACAACTCTTTAAGCAACATGTATAATGTATTAGGCATTATAAGTCATGTGGGGAGGATTCAGAGTATATAGGAGAATTGTGTAGGTTATATGGGAAAAGGACATCATTTGACATAAGGGACTTGAGTGTGGATTTTAGTGTAGGAGAGGGGTGCTGGAACCAGTCCCCCAGGGACACTGAGGGATGGCTGCATACCCTACCCACAGCTTGTCAGGGCACCCAAATCCTTTCCCTGGACACCCCTCAGGTCAAACAGCTCTAAATCCTACCACTATCTACCTTCCTCCCCCTGGGTGAAATTCACCTTGGGAATCATCACAGCGCTGTCAGGTTTATTTGGGATTGGTTGAAGAGCACTGAGTTGATCAGTTTCTCAATTACCTCACAATTTCTGCAAGTCCCAGATTTCTGAGCAATCATTGCTGAGGGGAAGCCAACATTTCTTCTAAAGTTGGAACTGTCTTTGCCTGGCCCAGCCTGTGTATTGCCCTTATTCAGGCTACCTGGTCTATGAGCTGCCCGTCAGCACCGAGAGGAGGGACTTCCGGGTCAGGAGCAGCTTGCCCTTGGCCTTTCCTAAGCCTTTCCATTCTCTCCTAGCTCAGGTGCAGGCCCATCTCCCAGGGCTGCGAGCTTCTCACAGGTAGGGTCCATGCAGGCTTGCTGGAAGGACGCCAGCCTGCCCAGCTGTGAGGGCTGTGGATGGCCAGTCACCAGCCCTGACTTGTTGACAAAGCAGGAGGGCGAGCACCCAGGAAGAGCCCGCCTGGCACAGCCCCTTACTTGTATGCCTTGGTGTTGTAGATCTTCTCTCTGGGGAAGCCCAACATGCCACACACCACGTGGGAATTCTTGGCCGTCCAGTGCTTGTCACAGATCGGTCTCCAGGTCTTGCCCTCCTTCACCTCCACGTAGCCCTCTGTCACGGGCATGCGATGGCGGAAGGCTGAGAAGATGGAGCGGATCCGGATGTTCTCCACCTGGATGTTCAGGTTCTGGAGAGAGGGAAGCAGAGGGGTGACCACCCTGGCCAACCCCAGAAGGGATGCCAGGCAGCAAGAACTCCCTCAGCAATAACAGAGGGATACGATGCCTCCGATGACCACCCAGCCCAAAACACAGTGCTATGGGTGGGGGAGTGTGACTGCAGGGATCGGGGGGAGCAAGCGTGACCTGGAGCAATCAGAGAAGAATTGAGGGACCCAGGAGTTCCCAACAGCCTACCAAAGTGCCCAGAGGGCCGTGGGCAGTAGCTTCCCCCTGCATAGGTCTGAGAAATCAGAGCATGAGAAAGTGATCTTTGAATTTTCATGTAAAATAATCTGGGTTTTACATTTTACTCCAAAATGTGTGTGCATGTGCCTATGAGTGTGTGTGTGTGCACGTGTGCGTGCCTCCCCCAACAACCTCGGTGAACTGAAGTTCCAGGAAGATGAGCCCCAGGTCTCCTAAAGCAGGTGGCACTACCTCATATCCTGCATTCCTCTCCCCAGAGGCTGGAGAAGGGGCAGGGCTCCCAGGGAAATGAGGTGGGTGCCCAGTGTGTGCAAGGGGCCGGGAAGGTAGATAAATAGGGTTGGGGGACAGTTACTTGGTTGAGGCAAGGTGAGATTCTGAATGCTCCAGGTGCTTGGAAAGTCCCCTCCTCATCTTTCTGGGCAGTGGCAGGTAGAGACCGGGGTCAGGGTTGGGAGGATTCATTGGCAGGGCCCTCGAGGAAGCCAAAGAGGCTGGAGGGGCGGATGGAAGGAAGAGCTCTTCTCCCTGTCACGTGGGTTCTCCTCCTCACTGACACTGAGCTTGAATGCCCCGCGCCATGCCTACTGCCCAGAAGGAGGGGGCCTCCAGAGGCCACGCCCAATGAGAGGAACAGTAGGAGGGGGTTCCTTGGAGTCACACTGACACTCTTTAGGCTTCTTTGGGGCATCCTACATCAGTCCCCAAATCCTAAGGAAGCTCCATTCTGAATCTCTGACCTTCAGCCCCCCCTATTTCTGCCCCTGCTCCTGCTCTAGGGGGGCACGGCCAGCTCTTGCAACAGTCTCTAATTGAGTCCCTGTCCCCACCCATCTGTCAGCCACCAGATAGCTCTTTCCAAGACACTGATCTAACTTGTTCTTTGACTGACTCCTCTTTATTTATACAATGCACAAATGACTTAGAGAGATGCTCGTGGCACTTCATGACTGATTCCACCTATGCCTCCAGCCCTCTCAATGTCCCCAGCTCCAAATCAATCCCCGGACACCACAAAAATGCAGTATATAATTGAATCAGCTATCAAGAGTGCTTTCCATTGCTGTGTGATCTCTTGTTCAACCCTCAGCTGCAGAACAAGGTGGTTTACAGTTCTCATCATTCCCATTTTCAGGCAAGGGAACCAAATGATTGATTCCAGTTTCCTCCCCTGGACCACCCTGAGGTGCGGTGTAAGACACACCCTAAGCTGGGCCAGGGAGGGAGACGTGGAGCTGGTGAGGGTGAGACTGGAAGGCTGGAACCCAGTGACCTGAGCACCCGAGCCTGTCCAGCCAGGATGCAAATGAACCACAAGGTTGAACAGAAGCATTATTTGGGTGCCCAGGGACTCAAATCCTCCCGCCAGCTTCAGGGTCCAAAGCCAGTTACTGCTCCACAAATCCTGCAAGGTGGTGGAAAGTATGTGGCCCAGAGTGATGGCATTTGGCCCCAATTTCCTTCCACGCAGAGCGGAAGGAAAGCTGCCAGCGGCAGCATTATGTTTCCCAGCCTGGATCCTGGATCCTTTACAGCCCTCATTCAGGCCCTAGGACCCGTGCCACCGAGACACGTGGACAGGGATGAGCCAAGAGGGGGCCTGAGGTCTAACCCCAGTCCGTGGGCCAGCCCCTCCTGCCTCTCCCCACCTGGGGAGGCTGGCTGGCATTCCAGTGTGGAATGCGTCATGCCCAGAAGGAAAGTTCCAGGCTGACCTCATTCCATTCACAGATCCCTTCCTTGGCTGTGGGGCAGCAGCGTAGGCTGGCTGACAGGAGACGTGACCCTCAGCACTGCTACTATAGGAGGAGGAAGACCCATGCTGGCCACAGGCTCGAGGCCAGCAGACACCGTCCCACCTGCCAAAGTAAGCTGGCCCTCTCCTGTTTCAGTGCAGGGTCCCCCCAGTCGACTGTGGGCTCCAGGACGTGGGCAGCGAGGCCCAGCTGCCACCGTCCTCATTCTTCCTCCAAAAAGAGGATGTATGTGCACGCGCCTGCGCGTGCATGTCCCTGTGTCTACGTGTCATGTGTGTCAGAATCTGCATGTGTGTCTCTGGGAGCTAGTATCTGCATTTGTGTCCATGTGCATGATGACATGCATGTGACCAGTTGTGGGTATGTGCCTGTGTCACCCTCTATGTGTGGAGTGTGAGTCTGTGGACAGATGGAAAGGGACCTGTCCCTCCACTGCCTCAGGAAAGCAGTCAGGATAGGAGCTGCACTCCCTCTTCTGAAACGGCGCGTCTTTCCCTCACTCCCTGGAACCAAATCTTTCCCCTTCTGTAAGGCTTGAATCACTTTCAATCACTCATACACTCAACAAAATATAGACTCTGTGGACCTTGCCAGGCTTCTTCCCTACATCCCACAGTGCCCTGCCACTTCTTTGAAGAGTGATCCAGAGAGCCATCACTAATCAAATAGCAATCAATTGTACACGAGGCTCTGTGCATAGACCTTTGCATCTATTGATCGGAGCTCTTGATTCAGGGTATACCAACCTACAAGTGAAGACATGAAAAGACTTGGTGAGGTTTTGCAACTTGCCCAAGTTCACAAGCCAATATGCAGTAAAGCAGGATAAAAACCGAGTCCTGACTCCAAGCCTGTGTTCCAGGCCATATTGACCACCACACTCCAAGCAGCCCTCACTCTCATGCCCAAGGCTTGTCCATTACCTGGTATTTCAGAGGACACGCAGGGCTCAGACTTCTGGGTGGTCCCCTCAGGGCCTGCCTGGTGCTGTGCACACTTGAAGCCCAGGACTGCACCTGTGTGTCAGGTTGGACTATGTATGGAGGGGAGAATTCAGCCCCAGATGCTCTCATACTCAGGCCAGTGGGAGCAGCGGGGCAGCCCTCAGTAGATTGCACTGGGCACTTGTGCGAGTGAACCAGCTCCTCCAGGCTCCCGGGAGAGCTCGGGTTGGACACCACATGCAGGCATGCACGGTCCCCTACTTCACTGCTGTGGAATCCCTTCTGAAACCACAAGTGCTAGATTTTCTTTTTCCCAGAAGTTCAGCCCCAAAAGAGGAGGTTTGAAAATAGACACACATTTGTCTTTTTTTAACAAAGGGCTCTCTAAACTTGCCAATTTAACATTAAGCCCAATAGCCTAGAAGATCATCAAGCACCTGGCTCATTTAAAAATTCAAATGAGAAAGCTGGGTACAGTACTATTCCCAGCTACTCAGGACGCTGAGGCAGGAAGTTGGTGACTTTGAGACCAGCCTGGGCAACTTAGCGAGACCCTGTTTCAAAAACAAACAAGCAAACACACCACCAACGAAAAAACCCCCGAAAACCTGAATGCTGCCCCTTTGGCAAGAGATAATAGTGGCACAGGCCTCCAAAAGGGTTCCCTCCTAAGGACTTCCAAAAATTCTGGGACTTTTCCCATCCCCCCCACTCATCACATTCTGTCACTCAGGGAGGCCCTGAGAGTTAGATAGAAGCACCTGCTTCCAGAAGGGAAACCCAAGGTGCAGTGAGGCCAGGGACTCGCTGAGCTTCAGCCAGTGGATTGGTGGAAAGAGGGGCTGAGGAGGGAGCCTGGGGGCTGGGACACCAGGCTCATGCCCGGATGCCATTTAACATCTGCAGCATCTGTCCGTGACTTCAAATTCCAAAATGGAACAGTCTGGGGCTGTCGCCAGTGAGAACTGCATCTTGAAAGTTTAGCTGAAGATTGCATCAGGGAACCAGGGGGAGAAGCAAAGCGAAGGGGAAAATGAGCCTTAAGTACCTACTCAACGTTGGTCTAAAAGCTCAGCCCTGGACAAACGGCCTCCCAGGAGGGACGTTTGCAAGGCCTGATCTCCCTCCATGACCTGTCCCCTTTCCTCGGTCCTATAACACCCACTTTGATTTCATCACAGGCCTTCCCTCTGAGAAGTCACCCTGGGGGGCGGTGCCCGGGTAGGGAGATGTAGCATTATGCAACCAACATCTAACTAGAACCTACCACAAGCTAGTTCCCCACGCCCTCTGTTCACATAGCACACTGTCATCCTCTAAAGCTGACACGTTCCTGCATCTTGCTTTTATAGCCTGTGGCTGTCTTTATTTGCCTATTTTTTAAAATGGCCTGCCAGACTCAGACCCATCTTCCCCGCTGCCAGCCTGCCAGCTTCCTCAGCACCTTCAACCAAACACACCCAAGATGCCCTCAGTCCTTCTTCCTCTCAGGGAGCCGAGTGAAGCTGCTGCCCAGCCAGCTTGGCAGACCACAAGCCTCAACTCCTTTCCCACCCTCTCTTCCTCACTCGTAGTTGGCGTCGGCAATGCCTTTCTGTCTCCACCAAGTTTTCTGCCCCGCTTCTATTGCACAGGCAGGTGGGCAGGGAGAACTGTGGATGGACCAGAAGGGCATCCTAATCCCATCATCTCCCGTCAGCCCCGTGCTGTCTGCTGGGCTCTGGTTTAAGCTCCCTTCCACCCACAGACTCATCCACTCTGACCATGGTGTACCCACACGTCTTGCTTAGACCTGTCTGGGGCTTCCCAACATCATTGGCTCAAGCCATCCTCTGCGATTCCCTCTTCCCTTCTCTCTATCTATCAGAATCCTACCAACCCTCAGGATTAACTCTCAAGTTAATCATTCATAAATATCTGTTGAGGGCTGCTACATCCCAGGGGTTGTATGAGACTTTGGGACACACAAGATTTATGGTGAGTTCCTTGCTGCCATGAGGTGCCTAGGCCAGAGGGGAAGAGACAGCACCACCTTCTCCATGACTACCAGTACTAATA